GACCTGACCTCTCGCGCGTGAAATATGGTTACATCAACAAGATTCCAAAATGGGAAAGCTGTATCAATTCTAACCACTGATAACACACTGTATAGATTGTCATTAACTTTGATTTGGTTGATAACGAAGTTCGGTATAAAGCATGGTACAGAGAATAGACCGGAATGATCCTGGTTTATACTGGACTCATGTGTAGGGAGACAAGACTGGAATATAGGGAATGACCTGGATTCATGTCTTCTTCATTTTTTTGTTGTAACTAATGTCGAATTATTATCGGGTTTAGTTCTATCGTGTGAGATGCAGATATCCTGATAGTTACCCATATACCTTTTACATTGGCATCACCTTAGAATATTTATACATGAACTTGCGGTCAAAACTCGACAACTGTCCTCTGTAGCTCAGTTGGTTAGAGCGCTGCACCGGAATCGCAGGGCCGTAGGTTCGATTCCTGTTACACTGGGAAAATATGTGAAATCCATACTACAAAATTGGCAATTGCACCACTAAATCCATACTGCATATCCAAACTATTTCGATATTATATCCATAGTATAGAAATATACAATTATTATGGATAATCAAAATCCATTCTAATTCCAACGAAGGTCCATACAATTTCCATACAATCTCCAGTCTATGACCTATGGATTTTCAAAATTTTTTCCAGTGTTATACAAAGAGGGCCTATAGTTGCATTTTTCACCAACTGTTCCTGGTTAGGGCTATAATAAATGTATAATAATTACACTCAAAATTTCCGTTTACAAAATCCCTCTATTATTCGTGGATGTCTGTCGGTATTCTAATGTATTGAAAAAACATGCAAACCAAAGTCTGAGCATCCTAAGCCGGAACTGCGGTAAAAGTCCAATATCTCTTGATAGGTACTTGGAATTTGTTCAGTTACGACCTGGTTACGACCCACATGTCTGGAAACAATAATAATGACTAATGGCCTTAGATACCAAAAATTATGATACAGGAAAAGTATTTTACGCTTTCCAGTTAATGCCTGACCGGTCAGATCCGAATTCTTGTCACTGCAATCAATGGAAAGATCTGGTCTGTGTTTCTCAAATATCTAATTTTCAAATATCTGAATACCTCATTGTAATGTTATCTAAATTTTCCATGTTCATGAAAAACGCTCCATGACTATGTTATACTTTATAAGCTCGTCATTCAATCGCTAATAAACTGAAGTAAAATAATGACTAAAGGTATATAAAGTAAGTTAAGGTAGGGTAAGCAAAGGAAGGAACGGAAAAGTAAAGCAAAGCCAAGTAAAGCAAAGCAAAATGAAATAAAATAAATAATGTGAACTAGTTAAAATATTCATATATGAAATGAAGCGCGTGACAGTTATTGTTTAAGAGACAGTTGTCCACTTGTCCACAAACAATGAATGTCAGAATGGTTTGTCGGAGCTAAAGAACCGACCTTTAACAGAATTACGCTCAATTTGTCAAATAAATTCCCATTATCTTGTTTTGCGGGTACCCTAATAAACTTGTCATCTTTAAATGACAGTCGAAATTAGTTCTCCAAACTAAATATTTTAATTACAAGGTTTCGGTTTCTCTTTCTTCAGAATCCTATATATCCTTTTCAATCCTTTAAGAAATATTCAATGCAATCTTGATTCGCATTAAATATATCTTTGCCATCTTTTTATGCTATATATATATACTATGTCTATAATGTTTAAAATGGAAGATATTATTTTGTATGAGAAATTTTTACTTGCACGGATGGGCAAAATATGCTAATTGCATGCTACAGTCTAATTGTTATAGTGAAATATATGTTTCAATTTTTAAGACATATGCTTTTCAAAAGATGAAACAAGATCTATATAGATTATAGTCTAGCAAAGGTCTTTTCTTTGAAAAGACTATTTGCACAATTGACGCAAATTGATTAGTATAATATAGCCTAATTCGACACTATCTTGCTGCGTGGTTTGTTTTAAACCTTGTCTCTTGCCAAATGGATCACAGTAATTACGAAATCGACCTTCTTTATCGGACTTTCGAAACCACTCAGCGTTCTTGACATGTCAACACGATGCACAGTTTCGAAATTCAAATTTCCTGCCATAATATGATTGCTTTCCTGTTTAAATGAATCATGAATGCAAATACTATGTAGTTCCTTGAAGCAATGCCAATCTTTAAAGCTAACGTCATCATAGTTTTCTTCGACTAGTGTTTACAGGAAAATATTGGATTGCAATAACAATGGGTTTTGTATTATAGGGAACTCCCTATGTAAGTCCCTGTTTCCTTATCAAAAAATCTAATTACATTGTAAAGTCATACAGAAGTTCCGTCGATTGTATCTCATAAATGTCTTGATAAAAACTGTAGATTTAAAGTAATAAAATTCAAATTAAAAATATTAAAAGGTTTTATTATAAATGCTTTCGCTCGTGGCCGCGGGATCAGTGAAACCTTTAGCATTTGAAACAAGGATGTTGTTCTTAATTGAAAACTGCAGTAACAAATGAAATCGTCTGAAGTGGGACGTCAGTGTATAAAAAATGAAAATATTAAGGGTGGGGTTTCGTTGTAGGCGACGTTGTCGACAACAATCAAGAAATTGACTGAAGGATGCAACCATACATTGAATATAAAATACTAAAATCTTTAAAAGATCTTGAAGCCCGCATGTATGAAGAAATTTGAGATTCCTAGTTTTTATACCGCAGTTTTAAAACTAAAAATAATATAAAGAAAATAAATAACGACTGCATGTATATTAATGTACTGTAATTTGTATATTGCAATATTATGCCACTGGTATTCACTTTGAACGATTTGTCTATTTAGAAATATTCTGCCATACAGAAATAAGTTAAATGAAATAAACTAAAATTTCAGTATCTTAATTAGCAGAGTAAGCAATATATATGGACCTAGTCCAATATTAAATGCATACATACAAATTAATATATTACGACTGTCACCATGTATTTATATGCACTTCGTCATAAGATACTCACATGACGCAATGTATGACTGGAGGCAAATTTCTATATAAATATCAACACTAAATACAGCACATATGGCTTCAATGAAAAAATATTTAAAACACTGCTTGATGCATGCCACTAATGCATTTTCCGGTAAACGCATTGTAGTGAAGACATAGTATTTATCCGCACTTTCGAATCAAGAGCACTCTTAGTCTTGATTTATATGACAAAACAGGACTATAGTCTGCGCACGTTTTGCACAGGAAATTAGAAAATTAACGAGGTCACCTATATGCATAAGTTTGGCATTTATCCCAAGCGATGTTTGAGCTTCCTCCATAAGTATACTTTGTAACATTGTTATTTTAATTTATTCGATTCCACTTTCTATCAGTCTTATTAATGTACTAGAATATTTTAGGAAAGGAATGGAAATCAATTTCGTTAGCCTTTGCTATACTGAAGTTAAATTGTCTCGCATTATAACTGGTACTAGACGAGCACGAAATTTGAGCTCAATCAACGCAGATAAATAATACTAGTGTGTCGACTTGTAGCACGTCTATTTCCACACACGCGAGGGGAATTTTGTTTCGCTCTTTTCAAATGGAACCTCTAAGATTCTTTCCCGAATCAGGCACGATACTAGTTTATGCCGGAATGCGCGGTTAGTCTGTGGTGGGTCTGTTGCAACAAACAGCTTCATCAAATTAGTAAACTGTTTTAATCGTTTCGAAAATTGCGGTTAATAAATCTCTTATGCAAAGACCGCCGCGCGCGCCTGTGATTCTGTGAAAAAGTTTTGACGACCCGAAATGGCGCAAACTTTAATACCCTTCCGATAATACATATAGCAATAAAAACAGCGCATATCCAATATAGCTTAATAAAACAATCCTAATGCGGGGCGACTGTTTCATGTTTTCCTCCCCATTCAAAAGCCGTTTTGTTAATTACGGTAAAATTTGCGCGATCAAGTTATCTTGAGAATTCGCAATTGAGCAAAGTGTTAATCCTTGTACAAAGTTTGGGCCGTCTTTCAAAGCGAAAAACACATTCCCTGTTGTCGTTGGGTGTGAGAAATTTACTTAGTAAATTGAAATATAAACAACCCTCACAGGTTCAGAGGCGAGTTAGACAAACGTTAATGCAAATTTCGTTTACTTTGCCTTGCAAACCAAACATTCAATGTTAACAAAATGTACACAAACGTGAATTCTTGAGCAAATAAATAGGCTTTAGGTTTAGCGTATTTTTAGGACAAGTAGTCCGTGTAGGTTTGTTCAATTGTACATCGATCGGAAGGTAACCGCGTCTATGGCGGACACGCGCAATTAAATTTACCCAAGCAAGGCTGACAAAATTCATACCGTTCATTTGCGCAACAAAAGAACGCTTTCTTTTTTATCTCCGCGAAAATTCGGTTCGGAAATAGAATAATACATTTATATCGCTGTATATCTATTTCATTTTAAAGCGGCATTTCTGAATATTGACGAAATCATAACCATCGCCAACAAAGCTGTGAAGAATTCTACTGATCAGAAAAATAAAACGAACTTGCCCTTTTCTCGTTCCCTTGGTAGAGCCACACGGAATTTACGAAGCTATACTTGATATAGATTTATAGCCAAAAATATAGCTATCGTTTTCTCCTCACCGAAGATCGAGATTGTTTTGGTATACACAGACAGAAAGACTTCGGAGTAGACTAAACTAAGTCTTACTGTTAACAACAAACTGATATACTTCCGACCGATCGCGTCTGCTGAAACGTTGTCTTTAACATTACTAGAAAATTTATATTATTTGTAAAACACTTTTGGGATATATAGAGGGAATACATGCGCGCATTTGTCGACTAAACTAACAAAAACTCGCTTTTGGCAGTTTGCTATAAAGCATACCGATAAAATCGTCTTCAATTAAGCATTAAATACAATTCAAACAATATCCGTACGCTTTGAAAACGGTCAACGAATATAAATGACTTAGAAACTATATTAAACAAATAAAATCTTTTTTCTCTTATATATTTAATATGAAATCCCTAGAATCCATAACTAACAATATCAAGACTAACAATATTAAAACTATGCCACATCCTTGAAGTGTTTAACACCTCGCGCAAAAAGCTAAGTGTTTCAAGTGTCATTGTCGCCTGCCCAACTGTCATTGTTCTTCCTTATAAACAACTGTCCTAAATCAAATTTTACTTTCCATAAGACCAAAAGTATATTTTCGCACTGATACAGTGTTAAAATAATTGTTCTTTTTCGCAGTAACATGCACTATAAGGAATGTTAAGGCGACAAAGCCAAAGGAGATGGCGGTTCTCGGTCTCGACAATCATCAATATAATCGTCCTTCTCTTTTGAAGGACATTTAGCTACTATAAACTTGGAAAGATTTCTCCCTAACTCTAAAATATCAATTTTTATTTGGTTCTAAAGCTAAAACACGTATACGTCTGTCAATTATAGTCGCTCTAATAAACGTTCATGAGTTCGATGTTGATGAAATATTCCTTCAACAACGAACTCTTTCAATCCTTTAGGAGTTGTTGTGTCCACATTTCCCCTTGCATCCAAGCTTCGATATTATCGGCAAACAGTTTAACGTGTTGAAGCACAGAGTTTCTTTCAAACTGCAGATAAAATCGCCACACGCGTCAACGAAATCCAATCGAAATAACATATGTCTAATCAGAAGTTTCTATAATTCAACTTTGATATGAAAATATCGCGTCTTTGCTGGGATAGAAAACTTTCAAGTTTTAAGGCATCAAAATCGTCTCCTTCTTCCACCGCACGTCGGTTCAAAATAAAAGTTTCATATTTGATTCCTACATCTGAAATCTCCGGTTAAAGATAGCTCTATAATATAGTGTCCTTCAGCATCACTATAACCCCGTCTTTATGTTTTTCCCAACTTAATATCAACGATCCAAATCAACAGTTTCGCCCAAATCTTCAAAGATATATCAATGACCCCATCAATTTTAGCGTTTTAAGCCTAGAAGTGTTTCTATACCTAAACTAACGTCCCCCGCGCTGACAGCCCTATATAGTACAGATCGTGTTTTAGTAGATCTATCGTCTTGTCGCCCAAGAATTAGTGAAACAGCATACCGTTCCGACATAAATTACCAGGCAACGGCGCAAACGAAGGTCGAACTTGTGGATAGTACATTGACTCGCGCAAGAAATCTGTACAAGTGTTCTGAACGGGCAAGTTGACATTTGGCGGCAAGTATGTTGTGTTTGCCGGCATCTTCCAAAGATCGGTTTGATGATAGAGCGAGCTAGTATTAACAGCGTTTGTCGTCAGCGAAGTAGAATACGCACCACAAGGCGTGGACATTGTGTGGTTTATATTAGAGAGAGGCAAAGGCGAGAAACTCTCCGTACTGTTCATACTTGCGAGATGTTTTTCAGTTGAACCGATTATGCTTTCGATAGCGAACGGATGTCTGGGGCTGGTATCGTTTTTCGATTCCGAGTCAACGTCCTTTAGGTTCGTTTGTAATTGCGCGGATTTTTGATGGTGGTGCTGCGTTGTCGCTACCTTGCCCATTGCACCGTAGCTTTTTCTGATGCTTTTGAAGCGTTTCCGCCTTCTTAAGAAACTACCGTTCTCAAACATAGCTCCGCAATCAGGATGAAGCGACCAATAGCTTCCTTTACCAGGCTGGTCGGGTCTACGAGGGATTTTTATAAAGCAATCGTTGAAAGAAAGGTTGTGTCTTAGGGAGTTCTGCCATCGCTGCTGGTTCTCGCGATAAAATGGAAAATGATCGATGATAAATTGATAGATTTCAGACAGGGATAACATCTTTCTTGCCGAGCTTTGAATGGCCATTGCAGTCAGCGAGATATAACTATAAGGTGGCTTCGCATTACCATAGCTGTTCCGTAGAGGTCTCGGCATGGTTCGATTCGCTTCCTATATAAATACAATAAATTCTGTATCATCCTATACTATATATACTATATATAAGCCAATATAGAATGAAGGCCTCCTTTAAAGACAATATTATATTAGGAATTATATATTTTAAGTTCTGGAAATAATTCTAGCACTTTACTGTCTTTAGATATTTAGAATATACGCGGTAGCTTCGCATTTAGCTATTCTGTATGTATATTATAGGCTGGTTTTGCCATGGTCGGTTGTGTGTCGGAGTATTAAATAAACCAAAGCAAATAAACTATACTTCTATATATATTATGACAATATTATGCTAGGAATTAAAGATCGTTCAAAGTATTCTATCGTACAACATTGGACGGTGTTGCCTGTTGGATGAAAATTTTTAATCAAACCCGATCCCACATCTTCCAGGATTACGAACAAACTGATAATGTTCAATCATGAACAGCAAACATATCGTTTCTAACAAGATAGCATATAATGTTGAACCGTCCGAGTATACGACGGACTGGTGTATGTATAGGTCTATATATAAAGTTCTGGAAGAATGCTAGCTGCTCACTGATATTCGGAGCAAAGTTCACAAACCATAATATACTTACCAGAAAGAGTTTCCTTTGCCTTGTAATTAATCTTCCTGTAATGTTCCGTGTTAGTCAATAGAGCTAGCCAAGCTTCAAACAGTATCTCTCTCAGAATTTCTGATATGGTATCACTATGAGTAATATATATGGTATTATATATGGAGTTTTGAACTGCTTAAATATTGACAGAACCAAAGAGTAACGTACCACAAACGGTATACAGTTGCCTTGAACCGTGCGTTAACTTCGCTGTGTCGGCAACGCGGTGAAGCAAAGCTTTATAAGACGGTATGCAAGGCTTTTGTAGAAGCGTCGAAGTCTAAAAACACGGCAGCGATTTATTAGGAAGTAGGCAGCGCTTTTGTTTGGCTGTGCGTGCACTTCCCCTAATCGATTGTCGCGGCCTCGTTCAAAGTGTTGACATAAGAAGCGCCCGCCCACAGGGTCCGTATTTATTGCAGCAACGTCTAATTAACAAATGTCGATCACAAACTATACGGCGCGGCAAAATTACACGCTAATTTTGTGCGAGCAGACACGGCCCACAACAAAAGACCGTTTTCACATCGCTTTCAATAAAAAATTCAAATCCACGGCTCACGTGGAACGCGTCTATATTCCTACAAAGGCGAACCGCTTATTTGTGAACGTGCATGGAACACAAAAGCACACCTCATCTCTTATAAAGACTGTCTCTTTCAAACCAACTGACTTTTTCCGCTTAGGATTACATACAAGTTTTTTTTAATGGCAGCTCCCACCGGAGATGAGGTTTGGCCGCCCTTTAATACGGCAATGGCCATTTCACGGTTTTTGAAATTTTTTGCAATACATTCCAAATAGGGTGAACAAAACCTAGTAAAAAAACGAGAACTATATAATTACAGTAAAAGCCATATACGCGATCTTCTTCTGATGCATGTGAAATTTATAGATGAGTTTTGAATGAATGAATGAATGAAAGAAAGTATAGATGAGTTTTGAATGTCTTCAGTATATGCGTCCCCTCATCTGAACATTCATAACTTGTTCACATCCATCACAGGCAACAAAAATTGCACGTGTTTAAACGGCTCTAACAACTATATAACTGAAATGGAAAAGACGATACGAATGTGGTTTGGTTCACGAAATACTGACTGAAGAGTGTTCGATATCATATACTGATAGAGCAGAGTTGTCAGTTTTACCTCAAATTAAGGTTGCTACAACAGCCTGTAATTTCATCCAAGAGGAATCACCAGCCACCTGATGTTTCCTGTTGGCTGAAAGGCTGTTGTGGCAACCTTTTGAGGTACTGGACGACTATTTCTTAGTGCTCTATCTATATCATATCGAGCACTCTTTGGCATTTCGTGAACCAAACCATATTCGTATATATATATTTATATATTAGTTTGTTTACTTTATTTGTAAATATGCATGCTAACTAACATGTGTTCACTTTTTTAATTTCGTCTTATGCGTGGGACTGCAAACAAAATTCGTAATATAATATTGTATTGTAATATAATTCGTTTGTTAATTCAATTTTTGATGTATATTTTATGTACTTTATGAATACAAAATACACTCTATAAAAAGGTTGCAAATATAGTAAATTGCAACAAGTATATACATGATATCGCAATTCACCCACTGCAAAAAAATGTATTGTCACATGTATTCAACGATTTCAACTACCATAACCTGTTAGCATGACAACGACCACCAAAAAACTTGCTAAGAGATTATTTATATGCTTGCTTGACTCAAATTAAAATTTAATATAATATATACTGTCAAAGACGCTTAATATTATATATATGGCGTGTTTTTCATAGTTGTTTTAACGTACAACATGCAGCAAGCATTACAGTAAAGGGCATAAAAGGTTTATATTTGATCATTTGATCAAATGCCGATCATTATTGGAAAAACGTTATGCATATTTCAATAGACCACATGCACTTTCAAGCAGAAACCATTTTCGTTTCTTAATAATGAAGAAGCAACATCAAGCATGGAATAAAATTACAGTGACAGCATGACCAGACAAATATTAAAAAAGATCGTAGTTGAATAATCTTGCCTCGTGGATTCGACACCCACCGGGTCAAGCGAGAGGTCATCCAAGCATAGGTTTGGTTGTCTGTCAATTAAGAGGATTATGGCGGGCATGCCCACTGTATGACAGTGCAAAAAGGTATGGTTGCATGATTGCTTAATGCCAACATCTCATGTCAGATGTTGAGATCCAAGGTAACCACGTTCCCAGCACGTGACTGGAGCTAACTGCAACTTAATGTATTGTACCTTGCACTAGACCAGCTTTCTGGCAGCCCGCACGTCCGCAATCCGCAAACTAAATGATGGAAATAATTTACATTTTCTGAGAAATTCATGATTGTTTTAGAAAAGAACAGCTATTTAATTAAAGGGCCTTTAAAAAGTTTTTAAAAGAATTGTGTAAGATGAATTTATAAATTTTAAAATAACTGCATTGACATAACTACATTATTAACTTATCCAGGGTAGTATGCTGCCTATGTGCAGAATTTGGTATAATATTCTTGGATTTTCAAAAATTTCATGTTTAATTAACTAATCACAATTTCATGGCTAAGGCTAATGGTGACTCGCCTATATATCCAAGCTGAGTGTTAATGTTCCATTTATGCAAATATAATCTTGTGAAGAATTTGCTCATGAAAGTGCGATTTCAGGTTTGGAAAATATATCACTGCACCGCAGACATCTTTAAATATTTCGGCCCTGCACCGTCTAAATGCTTGTAGGCTGCTGCACAACTTGGATGCCTTGTTTAGGATGGAGGCTCGTCGGGCGACATTTCAATCCTTGGGTGTTGACTTGCATTTAGCGGCTGAAACACGTGCTGTAGCATTGAAGTGCTGCCCTACTGTTTGTCACCTACGCTAAAACTGCATTAATTATGTAGCTTTTAGGTCGCTAGATAGATTTACAAGAAAAACAAGCAAGGCAGGGATTAATATTGAGCTCGTTGACAAGGTCAATTAGATATTTGACTAGGTTATATACTCACACGGATATTGCCTTAAGCTAACAAGTAAATATAGAAAGCAGCGTGTATGTGGAAAATATCAATTTTATATGCAAAATGCATTGGCTTCTACTCTCGAACAATCTGTGCAGGTTGATGATAGGGTTGTAATTATAGATTTCGAGCGAAGGCCCAAAGTCGGGACATTAGTAGCGATCAATCGGGAGCTTTCTTCTATTTTTTTCTTCAACTGACATCGACACTGACACTGACCACAGTTTATAGACTGTGCACTGACACTGACAAAACAATAAAACTTGAAAAGCAATAGGCGGCAATACGAGTGAACTGTCGTGACGGTATGCCTAATATATGTACGTTTTAAAGGTCAAGTAAGGGGCCATTCACAAAGGATGTCCGGCCAAATGATGGATTTTCAGACCCCCCCCCCTTGTCCGGCATTGTCCGAATAGTGACCCCCTCCCCCGGACATCTGCCATGCCTCGCAAAAACTCACGCAACCTTGTATATATCAAGAGTAAAACTTTTTACTTTTTTAGAACTTTTTATAACTGTAAATGTGAACACAAAAATATATAAATTACTAATTAAAACAAAATCTAGTGTTAACCGCATAGTCAAAATGCCAATTTCACAATGGGAAAGACTGCTCAAAAAATAGAGGGAAAAAGAAATTTGTTTTGAATTTTTTTAAATTTCGGACATCCGGATTGCTAAACCCCCCCCCCTCCCCCCCTATGTCCGAGTTTGTCCTGATTTTCCAAACCCCCCTCCCCCCTCGGCTCGGACATCCTCTGTGAATGGCCCCTAACATACTTCACCCAACCGAAACTGAATGGGCGATTTCAGCTATAAACTAAATTTTGATCAAGGCCGCAAGAAGAACGAAATCCAACACCACAGCTAGAAAAGAGTAAAACTGCAAAGAGTGTTTGCTAAATGTTGTAAAATGGAGAATCATGTTAAGATGCTCTTTCCAGCTATGGTAATGGATTCGTTCTTCTTGCCTAGATCAAAGTTTCGTCTTTAGCTAGAATCATTCATTATGTCAAATGAAAAGTTTATTTCTATATATACGTGAATGGATAGTCCATGGTGATCGAGAAAGCTTCGGATTGATAGGAATACAACTATCTGAAAAATACCGAAGGAGAACGTCGACATTTCCAGCGACGCATGGCGCTTCTTCGGGAAGTTGGTCCATTGTCATACCTTTTTAGGTATTTGTTCGAAGAGACAGTACATGTGAGATCCTTAATGTGTTTTTTTTGTGAAAAAGCTTGCTAGTCCAATGTTCTACCAACTGAGCTATACGAGGTCAAGTCGACTCGACTGGCAAGCTAGCAAGACAGCTTCCCTGGTGCAGGCACATTCAGAGTACTAACAACAGCATAAAAAGAACTGTAGTAGACCTTTGGGATTTTAATTTCTAAATAATTTTGAAAAAGTTGTCGAAGATTTTCCTGGGGTATACGCCCCTAATTTGTGTTTCTTTAACTATACATTTCTCTAATTATGCCCATGCACTTTTGAAATGCATGCTGATTCCCATAACAAAACATGTGAAAGAGAGATTTCATATATGCATAACAGGACATATTAAACTTTTCCACCTTGTAGTCTGTAGAACCAAAGGTGTAAGATGTGCATGTCCCTTTAACTTCAGCGACAAAGATTTGATGTACATGTAAATTCATGCATAAAGAGTGTTTAATATATACAGTTTGATATTTTTCTGCTGTAGTAAAGCAGAAACAATAATAAATGCTTCTTCTATACCTCTAAAGCGGACAGTCACCGATAGAGCTATATATACAATCCAAGCATCCAGCATGTACAGAGATTACTGGATCTCTATATAGGGACAACAGTTTAGAACTGATAGAAATATCCCGCAAATATATTATACATCTTGTTAGTTTAGTTTTGCATGTAAAGCCCAACGAGGATAATAATTATATATCAATTGATGAGAGTTGCCAGTCATACACGCATTGTTATACGAGGAACATTTCAACCTCTCTAGAGGTAAGTGATAGGTGTCGATAGAGTTGGATAAGTGTTCCAAACTATATTGCTTTAATAACTTGAATTCAATACATGCTAGTGTTGGGAAAGCATTAAGAACAGCTCAACCAAGGGCAAGGTTGGGTGATTGCCAACTCTCATGTATATACTCTCACCCTCATTTAACTGGACTGTTCTATCATTTTATTTCAGTCTTTCATACACTTTGAATCTTTCAGTCTTTCAATCATTCTCGTGTAATTCTTAGTGTATTGTAAAGTGAATCAATAAAAAACCTGCATTAGAAAACCGTTATCTGCACGAGCTGTTTAGATTAGATAGATCTATATAAGCAAAAAATGCGGGGGTAATCTGGCGCTGTTTCGGACGAGTATACAAGATCAAAGTAATTAAGCAAAAAGCGCTCCCTTGTGTCCCGGAGTGCGACAATCATAACCCAACGTTATTAATACTATAAATATATGTCTATACTAAACCTCGCTTTCCCGTGTCAATGTCAAATGCTCTGTGGTGCATGTTTGTTTAAGTTTAGTAAAGTAGTCGAGAAGTGTATATACACACTGAAGAATAGTGTTTCGCTGACTTTAACTGCACAGCAATAATCTCTCATAAATAAGCGATTGAGGAGGGCGCATCGGAACAGAATGGCTGTACCGCAAATGCGAAGACAAACCGTAGTCTTATTGAAGAAACAAATTAGCCCATATTACTGGCAAGCCTCGATTCAATCAAAACAAAATTTCCGAGGCGACCAATTCGAGTTCTCACGGTGAAGTGGTTAATTCCTAGCCCGCTTTTTTAATGGAATTATTGTTGTGTACGAAACGGCGGGCATTTGTGAAATAAATCTAATAAGTTTACACGGCTGTGTCGGGGACTTGTGATCTCCGGCGTCTCGTGTGCGATATAATAGAGCGGCGCGAGAGAGCGCTCCGGTTTTCCGACCGACACACGCTACACGCGCAGATGAAGATCGAGAAGCGAATTTTCTCAGCTGACAAGCAATTAATACAAAACAATACAGTCCCGGTCTTAGTTAAATAAGCACGCATTGAAGACGAAGCGCCCCTGTTGTTAAAAACACAAATCCTGCGATGAAATTAAACAACATACCAACTGCTATGCACTGACAGGGTCCCAGATAACTCGCGCTCTCCTGGCTCGGCTCGCAAAATCCGTTATATTTTATTGATCACGCAATAACGCTATTCTTCGCACACGCAGAGTGAAGCTCAAAACACCGATCAAGAGTGAGTCTGGCTTGCGATATTAAAATACTCAAAAAGCGCTATACACCGGATCAATGCATTGTCGATTTTATTGTCCTTTCAAACGAGTTGTTTGTTTTTCGGTATAAAAGCTATCCTTATGAAAAGGCAATATAAGAGATTTGAACAAAACAGTAATATAAATACTTGTTTAGTTGTTAAGTGGGCGACAGACAGAGCAGTGTTTTATTGAATTTGACAGCGAAATTATCTTGTTTAAGATTCTTTCATAAAACACTACTATGCAGGTGTATTTTGTAGATCTAATAGAAGTTATTTGTGTTGGTTTCAAAGATTTATGTTTTGATTTTAGACACCTTTTAGAGTACAAGTACAAACTGTACATATTCGTCAACATATACTGTAGCCGTAGGAATTATTTTTGAGTAAATCCTATATATAAGCATGTTTCGCCACGGTTTGTGGCCAGTATAAAGTTCGCATGCTTTACCGACGCCCTCAGACTATAGTTATAGTCATGGTTTTGTAGCACTTGGCAATACAAAAATGCAGTATATGTTGTAGTAATAACTGCCAATGCAATATAAAGGTGAAATGTTTATTGGGAATTTATCTGCTTATTCTAATCTGCGTTTTATCCTATTGATGCTTTCTTAATAGCAGATATCCTTTTTGACAAGAACTTTAAAAAGTATACTGCAACTAAGTTAGCTTGTTCAGATACTGACCAAGAAAAAATGACAAAAAAAGATGACACTGAATAATTCTATAATACTGTCATAAATTAGGGAGGTTCAGTCTGTCTCTGCCACAAAGAGGAACACACACCCTTTTGAGTCTATCTATGAGAAATATTTTAAACAAATAATGGCACACCTACTTTATTAATGAACATGAATATATCCTTCATGTGATCACGTTTCAAAGCCACTCAACAGCAACTGTTCTATTTCAGCATTTGAAAAGAATCTGGAGACTGGAAGGAAAAAATGGAATTAGTTGTAATCTGAACCACACACACGACCGAGGCAGCGACGTGAAAAAACCCCTATCTGTACGCTATTTTCAGATGATTATTGCAACGGAGAGATGTTGTTTCGCTCAGCTTCTGAAAGTTGTACATTCCGTATCGGATAGATGCTTTTTCGCGTCGCTATGGAAATCTATCCGGTATAGTGGGTTTGTACGTAGCCTGATTCAAATTTAGTATTGTACCGCCACATTTAATTTCTGAAAGTCTGTAAATGATAGCTGCATGAATAACTGCGTAACAAAGCTGTAATTAAGTGTTTTCCTACTCTGAAAAAACCGTGAATATTTTTGAGATTTCAATATCCCTGCCGATTTCACCAGGATTTTCTGTGAAACTTTAAATTTCTGCGAATTAAAGAGGACCTTGTCTCGATTTTCGGGATTTTGTCAACGAGATTCTTGAATTTCCAAGAATTTTATGACAATTTCACAACTGCCGGTGCAAGCTAGCCTGCAATTCGACACGTGCGGGGGTGGCTCCGCCCAAAACGCCTGCTTTGCAGGCTACTGAATCGCTTACTTTGATTAAACAGCTGTCAGGAAGTTAGTGTACATCTGTTTAAAAGCTACAGTCATTAATAAAAATAATTGTTAAAACGGCTGTTAAATGTACACAAGTTTTGTCATTGCCAGTATGATACGCTACTAAACTAAACCAAACTTTGTCAGTTATCACTCCAGTTTTCTCCTTATAAATTAAAGAGGCCCGAATTTATAGATTGCAGGACGAAACCTTCACTATAAACCAACTTTATTTACACTAGACAGCTCTATCAGTTCTAAACTGTTCTCCCTCAAGCGGTCCAGTAAAGCCAGTTAGACAAGCACGTTTCTGTGACAAGTTTTCATATGGAAAGTTTCTATGATGACGTCATATTTTTGGTTTTCTGACCGCCACGATAACTACAATAATATATCGCTGACCAACTGCAGGCTCAAATTACTTTAAACTTTCTTTGTCGACTTATGCAGACAAGCAAAATTCTTACTTCGCCATTTTTTTTGCAAGTAATTCAGACCCCTTCCTCTCTAATCAGATCCTACCATATCTAATCAGACCCCACTCTCTCTATTCAGATTCCCCCTCTAATCAGATCCCATCCTCTCCAATCAGACCCCACCCTCTATTCACCCCCCCC